CTGCTGCTGCTGTTTGTGTCGTTGTTGTTGGATGATCTTCTTCTCCTTCCACCATCATCTTCTGCTACCTGTGGTGCAGCAATCTCTCCACCGACAAAAAGAGAGTTCATCACACTTCCACCTACACTCTCCGCAATTGGGGAGAAATCATTAGGACCATAAACAAGTGTGCGTGGGCTCACACTACCATTGTTGTGGCTATTAGTACTAGCGTTGCTGTTGTTGCCACATGCAACGGCAGCTCTTCTCTCTACTTGAAGGAAGTGGCCAAGAGAAGGAGGATGGTTGCTGCTGCTGTTGTTAGTGCTGTTTGTGTTCACTGCATCAGTGGTAAGCCTGGAGCACAATGAGAATATCCAGGGCTTTGGCTTGTTACTGTTGTTACTATGTTGTTGTTCTCTTAAACTCGCTGACCTGCCTCCTCTTCCCCTGGTTGACCTCCTTGACAGTTCGAGAATGCTGGAGAATCCAATTAAGCTCCCTAATGTGATGCTCTTGTCATGGAAGAACGAGCCAGTTGACTGCCAACAAGAAATATACATGGATGAATGAGAAAAAAACAATGGAATTAGACTGATTAATGGGTTTCAAGAAAAAGGGCAAGATATGTAGGCCAGGAAGCAGCCACATTACTGGAGAGGCTTAACCACAGTAAATATAAGGGGGAAAGATGTCAACTTTATTATTGGGTAGTAAACGCAGCAAAAGATTGATGCAGGGTTTTGATTTGAAGGGTCAAAAGTCATGATTGATTAATGGGGCCATTGAGTGTAGACAAAAGGAGCAAAAGTGTTGAACTTTACCTTTCTATGGTATGAAAACAGGAACACGAGAGCAGTGGAAAAAACATGCCATAAATGCAGGGTGGTACAACAGTGACAATCTGCTGCTATTCAGCACTCCCAACAAATTTCAAATGAGTGCAATCATCAACCATGACTTTTAAAGCACCAAGGGGGTTGGTTCCATGATTCTGGTTCAGCATGAAAACCAAGGAATGCAGAAGTGGAAGGGATGAAGAGATTAGACTGTTGTGTTACCCCCACCTCAGTATCAAGATCTGAAGAAGAATCAGTGGTGGAGCTCGTCGACCTGGTGAGCATGGTGGTTGCGAATGAGATTGAGCCGTTGAAATCCTGATTCCTCAACATCCCAACTCTGGCATTCAATGGCCGCAGCCCCAGAGGCCACCCTTCTTCCTGCGAAACGAACCGTTGAATGCCGGTCAGAACCCAGAAGAAAGAAATCAGTTTTGTGATTCTTCGCACATAATGAAAAACGAAATAGTGAAGGTGACTCACTTGCTGCTCTTGCTGTTGTTGAGCCATGAAGATTGGCTACTAGTAGTCAGAGAACGGTGCAGTTATTTGGGTTCACTTCTAAAAGAAATCAACTCCCTTAGATCACATGCCTGCAGCGGGAGCTGATGCTTTCCTTCCTTCCTTCCTTCCTAAGCCCCCTTTTTGAAGAAGAATGGCATTCAGCAGGAGAAGGAGACAGTGAGAGAGATGATTATGGAACCAAAGCCCAAAGGGATGGATGGCGTCTTGCCCATTTGTTCTCTTCAGCTTATTATAGCGCCATTTTCTTTTATTTTTTCCACAAAGGCAGTAGGTATGGACAAGAGGTGGGGTTATTCCTCTTCTGTGGAAAGTTAAAAGAGGAACATGGTTTGGAGACAATGACTGGCCCTTCCATAAAACAGGAGAGGAAGCCCATTTTCTTTTTCTTTCCACGGACCAAAGTGCACGTCCCCAAAGACCAAAGTTCCGCCATTTGCCTCTTTCTTTATCCCTTTCATACCAATGAATCCTAAGATGGAATACAAATTGTGAGATACTGTGATGGAATGCATATCGACTTGGTCTCTAATGCACAATAGACTTGTCAAGTATAGCTTCACGTGTTCTGATTTTGGGTAATAACTTATCTGAAGTACGTACCTACGTAAGACTTTCACTCACACAAGTGAAAACTTGTAAAACATAGCGACTCGAGCGAGTTAGATGCATGTGATGGATACTTGTTCATTGTTATACAGACAATGCTAATGGCAACTGGCAGGTAAGGTAACTTCTGCACAAGAGCACTGACCTTGTCCGCATGATCTATCTGACAAAAGACCCAACCAAAGATGCCCTTCTGCCTTTGCCTTCCGCTGCATACATACTCCCACTTTAGTGTCCTTTTTCAGGTGCCGGCTTTTGCCCCTTTCATCTTCACTTTCTCTTTTTCCCCACACCCCCATCGTACAAAATTTACTACATGTATTCATTCTGTTAGCAACAAGAGTTTCTCTTACTCCTTACTTGATGAGCCACTTAACGTATACAAGTTGTAGACGTATCAAAACCCTGCTCTCTTTTTGGTCGTTTGTGTTAATGCTCTCTGTTAAAGAAACTCAAGTACAATGCTCTAGGTTACAGGATGATTGAAGTAACTTTGTTGACCAGTCGTTGAGAAAAGGTGACTAAGTTTGCTGTTGGTGAGATTGGCCTGCACCGGGGCGATACTCTCCAATTCCAAGCAGGTCCTGCAAGATTTTAGCAGGAAAAAAGACGGGTTAGAATGAATGCTAACAAAGTTAAAGGTTCATCATGATGGTCGATGTTAAAGGTTGGCTTTTTTTTATGGGCTAGCAGCAGTGAGGGTGAGGGGAAACACAGTGATTGATAATGGCTTCCCCATCAAAAACGGGAGAAATGAACATGTAACAATCTTAAGTCTAAAAAGGAAAGGGAGACAAACTGCCAATTCCAATGTTAATATAGTTCACCTACACCATGTTGTCTCCAATTTCTCTAGGAAATAGCTTACCAAGAAAAGAACTGTAGATCAGATTCAGGCAATGCAAGGAAGATAGATTGAAGATAACATGAGAACAAATGAATGACTATATCAAGTATCCCCCAATTCAAGTCACCACAGTGTGGGGAAGGGAACTTCCTCGAGAAAAGAACAAGAAAATCATTGACTGGGAATTGACAACTACAAAAGCTTCTGAGAATAGATTCTCTATTTATGGAAGTAGTTTCTGGTGATTCTGTAATAAATTGCCAACAGCAGCTAGGATTGACTAAACGGGAAAGCGTATCATTCTCACAGTGTGGGGAAGTGAACTTCCTACTTGAGGCAAACTATCAATTCCATTGTTAATCAATGCATAGTTCACCCACAGCATTGTTGTCTCCAATTCTCTAGGAAATAGCTTACCGAGAGAAGAACCACAGATCAGATTCGGATAAATGAAAGATGACATGAACACAAATGAACTATTCTATCAAGTATCCCCCAATTCAAGTCTCAACATATTGCTATTGGTGCAGTGTACTAGAGAGAACTTTACATCTCTCTCAGTAACTGAAGCCAATGCCCAATGCGATGAAATCAAGTCTCAATAATGAGAGAATTTCTGCGATGAAACGAATCTTGACAAGTTAGGCTCATGGAAGTTGTAGGTTTTGAGAGCTCAAATATAAGCAGGTTGAACCAAGTCATTCACAAAATTACCTGTTCCCATGCATGTATGTAAATTCAACAACTAGCGCACTCTCAAGTGGGTGGGAAAAGACTAAAGAGAAGAAATGGACAATCACCTGGCAAGCTTTGTTCTTTGCCCGAGTTTCTGCTGTGCTAGGGATGTCATGGTTTGGTTTGAAGAACCGCTTCTCACGCTTCTCACATGAGCCCCATCCGTCAGAGAACCTTCCACCCCTGACAACAAAGAGAAACAATGTGGCACTAGAATCATAAACAAAGGGCAAGAGTGCACAAGGGCATATATTGGATTCAGAGAGCCGTGGCGGTTGGAAGCCTACTGCATATGAGCTCGAACGATAAACTCAGCTCGCTGGACATTTCGATTTTCGTCGAATTCTATGCTCTTATCTTTGATTTCAAAGGACAGATTGAAGAAACAAGATATCTTCCTCCAACCTAGAGAAGCCCCCACGCCGTGAACTTAGTATCCCATCAATCAGTTAATCCAATGGAAGGACATGAGCAAACGGAAGAATTGTTAACTCACCTGACTTCTTAATGAACGGGTGTCCTGAAATTGTCATGTAATCAGACTTCTCCAGAATCTATTTCATTGAATTGAAAGTCACCTAATCTCATAAGCATTTTGTCGAATGGGAGATGAGCATAACCCTAAAACCCTAATTAAATGCACAACGGCAGACATTTATTGAAGATTCAGGTGAGAGTGAGTACCGCCATTGCCGCATTCTGGTAGTCCTTGAACAGCGAAACCGAAGGGAACTTCAAATTCAAGCAATGCCGCACAAGATCCTTCTCCTCGCCGTGCTGCTGCCGGACGTAGCTCCCCGGGGACACGTCAGATCTGTCATCACCACAATCATTGACGACATACCTTCCGATCTGAGGCGACAAGTACGCCTCCGGAGAGGAGTACGACATCGTGGTAGCAATCGGCGTCCTGACCAGAGCGAGCGGACTCGTACCCTCGGTTCTGGCCATCTTCTGAGGCCTGCTGCGATAGGGATCCGAGTAAGGGGAAACGGCATTGGAGTTGTACTTGGAGCTCTGTGGGGTCTTGGAAGGCGACGGCGGCGAGCGCTTTGAGATCGGGGAGTGGAAGCTGCGTTGTTTGACGGTGGTGAGCTGCTTGCGGGATGCGGAAGGGGAATGGGAGGCTTCGGCGGAGTCGATCACTGCCCAGAGTGCGGCATCGTCGAGGTCCTTGTCGTCGATTGTGTAGGAGACAGGCGACTTCATCTGTACTACCTCGGGTTGGCGATCTGGTGAGCCTTGCCGGCGGCGGTATTGTTTTGTGGTGGAGATGAAAAGGCGGGATCGGCTAATTCGAGGAAATTCAAATCAGGCTGTCTGCTGGTTTTGAAGCGTTCTGATTATCGCCCAGCCCATTACGTTGTCGGGCCGTTGGTGGCCCAAACAGGGGTGGATCCGATAGCCCACAGGCTTGGCGGGTGAACCCAAGATTTGTTGTTGGAATCTCCGGCGAGGTTGGTGTATGGTTTGAGAGGGGAAATTTGAGCTGAGGCCGACGAGCTGCTTAGTGCTCGTCTTCCTAGTTCTCACCTGATCAATTAGCGGCTAATTTGTTCTCCAGCTCCTCGAAATGGCGAACCCAATGCTTCGAACTTGGCTTCTCTGGTGGAGAAAGTGGGGGAAGAAGGATTGGGCCATCGCCGCCGTCGGTTTCGCGGCCGTACTCTTCACGTTCACCCTACTGATCGAATCGGGAACAGAGGATCCATCGGCGATTGGCAACCGGCCACTCGATCTGCCCATTAGCGCCGACGATCCAGTGGAATTGACATTGCTGCGGAATGCCAAGGATAGAGGCGCATGTACAAATTCGATTCACTTTCTATTTTATACTCTCCTTTTTGTTTCATCCTATGAGCTCCGTGAGTTGATATTTCTCTTCAAATTTTCCGATCAATTACACGGAATAGTTTGTTTGGACGGGAGCTTGCCGGGTTACCACTTCGAGAAGGGTTTCGGGTCCGGATCCAACAAGTGGGTGATTCATATTGAAGGTGGAGGTTGGTGCAATACAATCGAGTCGTGTTCGTATCGTTCCAGAACGGCATTGGGTTCCTCCAAGTTCATGGACCGCCAAGTCATCTTCGCCGGAATGTTAAGCCGTGACCCCTCCCAAAACCCTGGTAATAACTTCATTCTTGCTTTCCTGTACATTTTTTATGTACACGAGTTCAGTTTTCATTAGCAAATGATAGTCTTTCTGAAGCTCGGCCATATCTAACTTTGTTGCAGACTTTTACAACTGGAACAGGATCAAGATTCGGTATTGCGATGGTGCATCTCTGGCTGGTCACCCTGAAAGCGAGTTCAAGGTAACAACTTTTTCAAGGTTCTCTGAGTTTGGGATTTGCTCAAGAAAATTGAACGAGTGGGTTTCAGCTCAAATTGTTTAAAACGTTGGTTTACACGTCTTTGTTGTTGTAGAATGGAACGAAACTCTTTTTTAGAGGACAGCTCATTTGGGAAGCCATTATGGATGAACTCTTATCAATGGGAATGGCCAAGGCTAAGCAGGTGGTTTTCTTTCAGAGTCATATAATCTGTCTGTGAAGGACGTTTGTTTTGAAGATTGTTTTCTTTAGCAGCAGCTATTCTTGCTCTATAGTTTTATTACCGGGTTTCTTACGCTTTTTGTACTTGAAACTTTGCAGGCTTTTCTTACAGGATGCTCTGCTGGAGGATTGGCAACTCTGATCCATTGTGATGACTTCCGCCAGCTTTTGCCGAAGTACACGACTGTGAAGTGCCTTGCTGATGCAGGTTTTTTCCTCGATGAGTATGTTCGTATATACTTACCACAAACAATTGAAACTTCTTAGCTGGTTGCTTGTGGATGTTAAGGTTTTTTTGGGTGTTGTGTCCAAGTCAAGGCGTGAATTGCTGAGTATTAGATATAGGAGCGTGGTTTGCTTGTGTTTTGCGAGTTTTCTTGAGCTGTCTGTTCAGTATGTAAGAAGCTGACGAGATGCTTGTTGTCTTTCTCACATTTCAGGAAGGACGTTGGTGGACATTACACCATGAGATCTTTCTATCAAGACGTTTTGCTCCTTCAGGTTCTTGCTCCATTTTCCTCCATCTAAAATTTCACTAAATTATGCTAAATAGTTTGGCCTTTCCAAGTTGGTACAACCAAAACTGTAGACAAAGTCCTGCTCAGCTACCATCTGACATTTGCATTTTCAGGATGTCACATTTTAAACCTTTTTATAGATCTATAAATAAGTGTGGTTGCCTTTGTTTCTTGCATCGTTTATTGGTAGGGTGTGGACAAAAGTTTGCACAAGAACTGTGTATCCAAGACCGACCCATCTCAGGTACAAACGCTTACTGCTTCACCTCATCACTTATTGTATTAGTTGGAGTCTAAATCGTCCAGAAGGAACAATAATGCTTTACTTTTCATGGGCAGTGCTTATTTCCTCAAGAAATCATTAAAAACACGAGGACACCGATTTTCCTTGTCCACCCTGGTTATGATTTTTGGCAGGTAGGTTCATCTTTCTTGCTGCATCCAACTTGTGAGTTATCTCTTAATTTCCATAGGCATTCATCTCTAATCTGGTACTGATATAGTGGTAGGATGGTCCTTAGATACGGAACATTTTGGTTCCGGATGTATCAGATCCTAGCGGACATTGGCGGAAATGCAGACAGGGTCTTCAGTACTGTAATTCCACCCAGATTGAAATACTACAAGGTAGTCAAGTATCAAACATCGACATCATTATTCATTTGTATATCTTAAACGTACCAGAGTTTGATCGAACTATGTTATTGTAAACTTAGGGAGCCTGTCCATATAATACAGATCTTGACAGGCTTTGTTTATGTTCTGTATCCACGTTCAGGTTTCCGAACATCGCTCCTGAATGCGTTGGATGAATTCAAGCAAAACAAGGAAGGCGGATACTTCATAAATTCGTGCTTCATCCATTGCCAAACGTGGTTTTCTCCTACGTGGCATTCATCCTCTTCTCCAAGAATCAACAATAAGGTGGCAAAGAATTTTACTATCTTACATGTCCATTTCACCACGACCATTTTATCATAACTTGAATTTTCTGTTACTAGTGGTTCCTGAACAAATGCTTTTAACAGACGATTGCAGAATCAGTTGGCGATTGGTACTTTGACCGACAAGAAGTGAAGCAAATCGACTGCCCTTATCCCTGCAACCCTACTTGCCACAACATGGATTTCGCTCAACATTGACCTTATAAGTCCCATGATGGCATTAAACTTCCTGTTTATTTGTACAATGTTTGACAGTTCCAGCTCTATTCTCTCTATGCCAATAGACTTGTACATTTATACTCTTTCTATACAATTCTAGACTGAACGAACTGTCTTCTAGTGTTAATACAAGTGGAACACTCTACTATACAAAAGTGTCAATTCGATCACGAATTATTCAATATGACAATCTTAGTACAACATGTGTGAGTTTCATGAGTGAATTGATTCACATTGTTTGCTTCTGTCTGAAGAGAACCAAAATTTGTTCGCGTAAAATTCAAGCGATCCAAGTTGCTTCACGCTAGAGGATGTGATTGGTTCTAGGTCATGCACAGATTGCTTGCATAGGCTGCAATCCACATGCTGATTGATGCCTATTGTTGCAATCAAGCCCTACAACCCTGCTAAAGTAATTACAAGCTACACACAACATCGTACTTGTCGAGCAATCCTTCATATTGAATTTCAAAATAACTTGTTTATTAAAAACATAAAAAATCATTTGTGAGCTCCATCTTCACTCAACACCTGGATAGGCCCTAGATAATTGCACCTTTCAAGTCCTTCAACTCATTATGTTGAGTATTTCTTACGAACTCGTGGGGGTTGCGTTGATCTATCCATCCCATTAGAAATTTTGTTACTCTCAATCTACCTTTGTTGCACTTCCTATGCTCAAGAGGGAATACCTCAGTTCCAGGGTATTCAGGGCAATAAGCTTCATGAGCTAAAGGTACAAACGAGAGTTCTAAAGCCTTGATCACTGAATGAGTCTTGTACTTCATGTGCACGTTTTTTACCGTGATATAGGCAGGTGCCTTTCTTGAAACTTTTCACAAATGCATTCCCTTGTTCCCTCTGAGTATTAAATATGAAATTTTAACGTTACCTCCTTTCGTGTTGTTGTCTGACTTCCGATTTCTATTGCAAATACCTCATCTCGTCTGTTGAACAAAGTTGCCCTATGTGAGTTGGAACTTTTCTTCCATGGATCCATGTCCTTTGTGATAGTTCATGGGTTGATAAATCAATCGTCAAGCATCTTCATGGCCCTTTGGTGTTGCTAAATGAACTACTCAACGATCTTGAAGAAGGTACGCAATATGAGTGCTTATATTGGCATTGCATGGAGGCGAATATATAAACCATTGCGGCTCTCACTCATGCTCGTCATTAAGATGTCGTACCTATACTCTTCGTCTTGGTGTAATATCCACTTCTCAAAATCATGACTATCAACTCAATCTGCATCTTCCGCAATGGTGGGATCTTATATTCTTCATCTTCTCATCATGCTTTCAGGGAAGGATTAAAAATCGTATCGTACTGGCGGTTCAACTACTAAAAATCGGAACCAGAGCCAAAAAACCAGAAATGATCAAAGGAGGCAAAAAAAACTCAAGTCAGTCAGTTTTTAGCGGTTGAACCACCCGTCGCAATATTCCTGCCGATTTAAATCAGACTGGGCAGTCGGGGGGAAAAAATAGTTCTCCAACTTCCCACGCTCGCCAGTACTACTCTGTCAACCGAGCGACTATGAGCCAGCCTCCACCAGTTTCTGAGCCATACAAAGGAATTGCACTAATTAAGTGGACATTCAAGAATGCAAGTTTGCATACGATGAAATTGAATATGCAAGTCAGGTAATAAAATAAAAACTATAATTTATTTTTTCCTCCATTTTAAGAAAGTGATCGACATTTTTATTTAAATAACAATGATTTGGAAGTCATGATACCAAAATTCTTAAAAAAAAAAAAAAAACTCCTAAACCATTTCAATAACGTCCAGCTATAAAGTATAAACATTCACTACTAATGGGTTTTTAGATTTATGATTCATCAACCCAAAGATAAAAAAAAGAAAACTATACCAAAAAACTAATAGCTTATTGTTTGCAGGCTCTACATGCATGCCTTTTCAAAAACTAGATAAATTTAACTATTCATGATAAAAAAAAAATGGGGGAAAATTATAATAAAGACTACATATTTTTTTTATCATTATTTGTATATTAATAGTTTGAAGAAAACTAAGCGAAAAAATCAAATTATAAAAAATTAAAAATAATTTTCCATAAAATAGACACTTACTATAGTCGGTCGATAGTAGACAGAACTAGTATAGTCCACGGTATAGAAGAATTGTCCATCTTCGCATTACGATTCAAAAAAAAAAAAAATCTGTGCCTATGAATTTATTGGGCCTTACAAATGAAAGGTCCGAAACCAAGTAGCCCATGACCCAATGCAGAATTCAAAGATGCACCGCCGGCCCATCCACAAATGAAAAATCCCGGCAGCCGGCACACGATTAATGGATGAATCCGACGGTTGGAGTGACCATCTTTGCGTTGAAAATATCAGTTTTGTTGTTTTGCTTTGCCCCGCTTCTCAAGGAAAAGGGGAATTGGAAATCGGGAACCACCGGTAGTGACGTGCGTACGTGGAGGAAGGTAAGGGCGGATCGGAGGTGTAAACTTCTAACAGTTTCTAGATCCGCTACCGCCCCGCGCGAGCGGACACGTGGACGGCCACTAGCGAATTTCTGCATTCTCCTCCCCTCCCCCTCCAAGTACTATAAATTCAGTTCCCTACTTTTTACTTTCTCATCAAATTACCAGCTCGCTCTTGATCACCTCCTTTACTCGCCATATCTAGATTTGATTTTGTGTTGTCCAAAAAAGAAAATTCCGTAATGTCGTCGTCGTGCTGCGCGGGAAACTGTGGATGCGGCTCCGGCTGCAAGTGCGGCACCAGCTGCAGCGGGTAAGAACACTTGGAAAACGGATCTGTGATATTTTATGGGAATTAATTAATGTGTGTTTTTTGGGGCATCTGAGGCAGATGCAAGATGTATCCGGATGTGAGCTACGCCGAGACGACCGCGGCTGCCGGGACGGTGGTCCTCGGAGTGGCGCCGGCGAAGGCCAGCTTCGAGAGCGGGGCGGTGTTCGCGGAGAACGGCGGGTGCAAGTGCGGCGACAAGTGCACCTGCGACCCCTGCACCTGCAAATGAGAAGCGAGCTGGGAGCGTGTGTCTCTCCAATCGATCGTATTTAAGAGTATGAAATAATGTTTTTGTTTTTTTTTTTTCCAGTTTTCCGATCCGTGCGTGTTTCTAAGATGTGTTGGTGTTGGCCGTTACGTAATGTATATGTAGTGGAAGGAAGGTGTCCCGACTGAATTGTATTAGCGATTCAGCGAGTCTTGTCTTAATAAAGGACGCATGCTTTCCGTGTTCGAGTATGCGTTTGTTTGTTTGAATCAAAACTCGAATCTAATGAGTTGGAAGACAAGGGTTCAGATTAGCATTAAGCACGAGAAGGTTAATCCTTTACAGTAGGTGTACAAATACGGTAGGAATATTGCTCATCGAGGATATGATGGACGGTTTAGTAGAAATACAGACAAAGCTGTGAGGTAAGGTCCTTTGCCGGAGACACAATCTGAATGGGGGGATTGGAGTTTTTACCCAACTCCGACGCTTTGTTTTCAATCCTTAATCCTTTCCTGATTCAAATATCCCTTGCGCCGCTCTGCTGAACATGTTGTGAACCTGCCAATTAGCCCCAGGTCCGTTGGTGAGTGAAGTGAAGTCACTTGCTGTGTTTCCATTCTTGTTTTCATGAACAAGGAGAAAGCATTTTATTTTTTACCTGTTTAGAGGAGAGCCCAATGTTCTCCAAATCACTCAACTGCAATGCCACAATGAAAAAAGAAACACAGAGAAAACTCCGCGTAAGTTCAGGATGTAAATAAGGAACTATCACCAACTTGTTTCTCAAAGGGCTGACTTACTGATCTCAAAGGGCTTGTTTCTCGGAGTTCTACAATGTATTCTGCCAGCTTAACTCCTATGCCCTGGATTATATACATCATAATAACGATGGCATTAACAAGCTAAAGGGAATCACACAGGACAATTCATGGGAGCCTTGAAGGTTGGAATAGAATGTTGGGACTTCAGACACGTACCTTAATTTCCAGTAGTTCGTCTCTAAACAATGTAGAGCAAAACCCAAGTTAGTCAACTAACTAACTAACCAACACAATTGTAGATATCCACGGGGGAGTTCAATGCTTGGGGGACAAGGGAAGAGATCGATCTTTACCTGCTGGCCGTGTTCAAGAAGTTGAGATACTCATTAATCATAGAGCTCTGCAAATTTAAATTGTTCGAAGAAATAGACGAGAGCTTCTTGTTAGTTAGTCTTGAAGTTGTGAAAGCTGGGGACGCAGATCAATCAACTTATCCAGTGTGACGTACCTTTAGGTTGGAGCTCATGAAGTTGAATTTGTCTAGTGGGGTGGTCGCCACCATCTTCCCTTCACAAGTTGCAAGCAGTGGTGTTTTTGGAGGAGTAGTTGCTTGCTGCTCAACAATTCTGTTCATGTTCGGACAGATTGGGGATAACACCTTCCTTAGAGGACTTTCCTGTACTGTGCGGCTGCTACTTTTCTTATCAGTCACTGGTGGTGATGTTGTTCCTAAGTTGATCGACTCCTTTGATTCTAACTTCTCCTTTTCCTTCTCTGTTTTCCCACCATGTAAATATCCATTTCACAAAACTCAGTAGTTGTGTTTTGAGGGACGTATGAAATGCATGAGAGGACAAACAAAAAACTAATTCGACTGAATTGGTGGCTTCATACCGAGGGATCCTTTAATGTCAGCAACTTGAGCCATGACTCCCTCAACAGAAGGATCAGACAAATTTTCATCGTTCAGCTGTAAGCTTCTGAAAGGCACAGAAAGCATCCTGTGTATAATAAATTGAGAAAACTTAACAGCACCTCAGGATCCAGAACTACTTGTAGTTTTTACAAGTTCGGGACCTAAATCCGTACCTGTTCTTGGAGTTTGAAGCTGCGTTCCGAGTACTGACCTTTGCTTTAACAGAGCCTAGGAAATCAAGTCTCTTGGCAGAATTAATAGGAAATGGGGAAGGTGAAACACAAGCTCTATGGGCATTACTCTTGGTCTTTCCCTTTGATTCCAGCCAAGCTTGGAGTTTCGCTTCCATGTTCATTTTGACCTTTGGAGTCTCCAGTTTCTGAGCTGAAGGCACAAAATTCTTGACGTGGCGAGACCTAGATGCCAAGCTGACTGTGTTTACGGATTCTTGGTACTCTCCAGGATTCTACATGAAATAGGAGAAACAGTTACATGCCACACCATTATACATCTGAAAACCCAATTGGAAACTCTATTTACACGACAAAGGTTATGAACTGATCTTATGTTCTTACCAGACAGGCAACCATCAGAGCACGGCTTGTTCCTCCAAGAGAGTCCTGCAGAATCCTGGTCAGTTTGCTTTCACGATATGGTATCCACTGTTTGTTGTTGTTCAGTGCGTAGATAACATTCGACAAAGCAAACAAGGACTGGTTGATCTTGGCACTCTCCTGCAGACGGATCCCCTCATTGAATGTCCTCCTATTGTCTTCATTGCCTGTTATAATCAAATCACAAGCACAGCTATAAAGCTTGGGGATTGATTTCCATGCATTTCAGACTTACTTTCATGGAGGTTGATTAAGGCTCACCAGCTAAATCTATGAGGTTAAGCTTCCCATAAACGGATGAGCCATCTCCAATAGGAGTGGAGACACTTATCACCAGCACCCCATGGCTCCTGCTGGAGACATCATTGAGACCCGTGTGTGCAACCTTCCTTCTCTGAGTTCCACGAGAGAACACCTCCTGGAACTCCGGCATTGAACTGACGGGCACTCCACATAGGCCCTTGAGGTGAGTTTTCCCCTCTCTGTCATCCAGAATCGCAATCTCTTTTTCATTAGGTTCAAGAAGATCACGGCATTTCTCCAAGTATACTTCGTAGTATGAAATTTCAACTGTGCTTGCTGTCCTGCTGCACATGTAAAGAATATTGGACATGGCCAGCGGCATCAGGCCCGGCAATTCATCACTACCCTGCATCGAAACAACAACCACAGCTCCATTCTATCACCGAGACATAGTGCTGTGAAACGAACTTTCCCCACACAGACATTTCATCGAGCAGTTTACCTGCATTGTGTAGGTCTTCCCACTGCCGGTAGCTCCATAGGCGAAAACTGTAGCATTGCATCCCTGAAACAACCCAGGTATCAACGGGCTCACCTCTCTCTGGAAAATCCTGTTGACGTTGTTGTCTTCCGGACTGAAGAACGAGTCCAACTGATAGACTTCACTCCGACTACAGAGAATAAACAAAGGGGCCGGAGTTTCACCCACAGCACACAAGGAGGACTCCACGGACTGAGAAACTGGAACACAGGAAATCAGTTTTACCTGCTCTCAGGATCTTTGAGGTAAACGGCCACTTCGTCTCCAGATTCGGAGCCTTGATCTAGAAGGGAGATGCAGGAACTGAGCTCGTGCTTTGCAGCGATTTCGCTAGAGAGGAAAGGGCGCACCCTCACGATTACCCTCACCTTGGAGCCGAAATTGGAGTCCGCCATGGCCGTGCTTGTTGATTTGGTGAGATGCGCTGTCTTGAGGGATTTGGGGGTGTTCATGGATTCCATTGAGGAAATTCAGTTTGGATGGCAAAGGAGAGACAGAGCGCAGAAGAAGAAGCTGAAGAAAATTTTCTTTGTAAGAACTAAGAACGTATTCTGAAGAAAAAAAGTTACTGTGAGTCTGTAACTGTAATGCTGTAACAAGCCGTAGTAGTTGTTTTTGAACGACGACCAGAAGGCGGGCGAAGTTTTCGAAAAAGGCAAGCAACCGTTGAGGACGGGAGTTTTTTTTTTTTTTTTAATATAACAAAGCCTTTGTGCTTCTTTTCATTCATCTGCAAAAACAGATGGTGGATCAACTGTTCAAAAATATACATGTTCTTAGTTTTGAACATTGCGGGCCAGAATATGGGCTAGTGCGTTGTTCCTTGTAGGTCCAAATCTCCCACTGGACCTTGAGACTTGAAATCTGCTCGTTTGCTAACAAACTGCCTAACCAACACTAGATTAGGGCCCCATGGTCAGGTAATTTGGCCGACTCCTAATTGGGTTATAGATATAATATGCTCCTCTACTATGTAGTTTTATTAAACATGTCCTTTTACATCAAACATGTTCTTGTACTTTGAAAAAATAATCAAACATGTCCTTCTATTAAATTTTTATTAAATAGTATTAATTTACTACTTAAATTTCTATTTTCCTCTGTTTCTTTTAATTTTTATATTTTTTATGGAGAAGAGAAATTAATCTGAATACATTTGCTTGATTCAACTAAACAACATTTGTTGGGGGAGTAGTTTGTCTAATGAACTACATGATGACATTCATTTAGGAGTTAGTTTGGTTTTGGTGAAATCAATGCATTGTAACATACATGCAATTAAGAAAAATGATGCAATGTACTTTGCATTGTTTGGTTTTGATGATAGTTCTTTTAGTATGCAACAAGTTATATTATTTTTTGTGCGAAAGATCACTATTACCCTTGCTTTTATTGGAATATATATAACTAGGGGTATAGTTGGAGAAAAAAAAAGAAACACAACAATCTCCCCAAACTATCTCAACAATCTCAAGTTTTAGTAGATATAATACTATCACTCATTTTGAGTGACAGTTTCCATCACATAAAAAACAATGCATTGTAACTATCTCAACCAAACATCAACAAAAAACAATGCATGTATTGTTTGTACAAAAAATTCAAAAAACAATACATTGCAGACCATGCATGCATTGTAATATCCACTTAATTATTAACTGATAAAATAGTTGCACCGTAATGATTTAGATAAAATAGTGTACTTATACTCACATGTCATTTCTTAGAGTTCTTTTTGTCATGGCTTATTTTTAGCTAATGGGCTTTATTTACTAGCCTCAAAATGTGTGTTCAATTTTCTTGTTTGAATCGCATGAACGTTAGGTTAAGAATAAGAAAAATGGATTAAAGATAACTTATGTTATAGTCTTCAACATAATCATCTTTGAGAAAGACCTGGCCCTAGATGGATGGGTTACTTTTGATCAGAATGAGCAGCTTGCTCAATCCAATTGGATTGAATTGAACCTCGGACAAAAACATACGAAAACAGGGTGATGTTGGAGTGTTTTGGATGGTCAATTTCGTGCAATCTCGCACAAGGGAGAAAGCTCGAAATAGATAGGTAGAAGCCAAGCCACTAACAAGGTGTTTACTTGTTCGATACAAGCACACGAATCAATCAGAATCCAACAAGTGAAAATGAGGGAAAATGGGGGTTGTTATTGGTCGATCATTATTTTCTATAGGACTAGCTAAGGCAAGTGTACCTATCGTTAGAAGCAATATAATACGAAGCAATGTCGTATGACTCGTATCCCACAGAGATGATGACTAGTATTGATTAACTATTTTTTTTAGAAGAAACCTAGTTTATATTGATCAATGAGCTGGCATAGCCTTACAGTATACTTAGAGAAGCGGGATTAGGATAATGGGAGGCCTGTGAGTCCGAATTTCTTCGGACTCCCAGTTACAAAAGGTGTGGGCTAACTTATGGACCGGTTTGTTTCGTTCCCGACCCGAAAATAAGGCAAGTGTACCTATCGTTAGAAGCAATATAGTACCAAGCGATGTATCTCACAAAGACGATGGCTAGTACTAATTAGCTATTTGTTTAGAAAGAAACATGGTTTATATTGATCAATGAGTTGCCATAGCCTTAAAGTCTGCTTGAAGAAGCGGGATTAGGAAAATGGGAGGCTTGTGAGTCCGAATTTCTTCAGACTTCCAGTTACAAAAGGTGTGGGCTAACATATGAGCCGATTTGTTTCGTTCCCGGCTCGAAAACGAGAAATCAACCACCCCGACCCGAATGCTTCCTGCCTTATCTTCTTGCAGAGTTCCTCTACTCCAAAGCGGAGCGCATTTCTCGCGTAAGTTTATGGACAAGCGAGAGACAGACCATTTCCACTTCCAATTATCTGAAAGTCAGTCGATCTGCAATCTCCAACCTGAACAACACCTATTTTCTAAGGGCCCGTTTAGTATTGTTGCTTGTTTTTGTTTTCTGTTTTGTTTTATGAAATTTGGAAAACCAAGAAAAAAAATCGTGTTTAGTTGGGTTTTTATTTTCTGTTGTGAATCAGAGTTGCACAACAGGGCCCAAATATGAGAAACAACAATTTATTGCTTTGGATCTGATTCTTAAACATGTTGCACACGGAATTCCTACTGATTGGGCACTTGATTTCATTAAACCAGACCAGTTTTCGAATCCCCACAGAAGCAAAAAAAAAAAATTTTAACACAGCCCCCAACCCTACTTCAACTTATCAGCCCCCCCCCCCCCCCCCCCAAACTCTTCTCAACAGAGGTCGGCCGCCACCCTTCTCAACAGAGGCGCCACCTCCGCCTCACCTCCACCGCGCCGCCCTCCGCCTCCGCGCCGCCCTCCGCCTCCGCGCCGACCCAGCCCGCCGCGCCCGACCCCTCCGCCACCTCCGCCGCGGCGCCGACCCAGCCCTCCAAGCAGCACGAAACCTCCGCCGCGGAGCCCGCCGCCGACGTCCGCCCGTGCACCTCGCCGCCGTCGCCAGTCCCCCCTGCCGCCGCCGACGCTCCACAGGGCTCTGAGCTTCAATGGGAGTGGAATCCACTAAGCCATCTTCCTGAGTTTCCATCCGACGAATTTCAAAGAGAGGATTTTTCCCTATAACACATCAAAGGTATTGTTCAATCACAGCCAAAGCAAACTTGAAAGTGTAGAGATCCAAACTGTAATTGGTAGAAAAGTTGCCAAGATTGGTACCAACTACCAAAGTACCTGCTAGTAGAGCATCAACCTCCGCCCGTGCACCTCGCCGCCGTCGCCAGTCCCCCCTGCCGCCGCCGACCACTTCCCCTCCACAAAAGCCTCACTTCATCTCCCCCACAGCAGGTAACTTCGATTTCATGCGGTCGTATAGCTTGAGGAAGCAAACAAGTATTGTCATTGCTTGTTGCGCCTTACATAATTTAATCAAGATTCATGCCGAAGATGATAAACTATTTCATGAATATGAAAATTATGAAGATGAAGAAGGTTCGACTTCTGGGGTTGAACTACCACTCACTGAGTTCAACGTCAGCTATGCAGCAACACGTGAGATGACCGAGAAGCGTGATGCCATTGCTAACCAGTTATGGAGTGATAATCATGTTTAGTATTATTTTTTATGTAGGGAACATGAAAGATGTTAGGTAAATTGAATTTTTTGAGACTTTGCTTAATATTGAGGACATATCTCTTTTTTCTGGTTTTTAGTTCTTACAGTAGTAACTAAACGCGTTTTTGTTTTTTGTTGTCAGCTTTCATGATTTTTCAGATTTATCAACTAAACAGGTTTGTGTTTTCTGTTTTTTTCCTGTTGTGGTTGTACATCTGTTTACACAACACCACTGCAACCACAACAACAACAAAATGATACTAAGTGTTTGTATCCAAAAACATATTTGTGCCATATATAAGCATATTTATGATGAAGTTAGGATATATTATCATATTTTCTCTCTCATATTCTCGCTATCCTAAAGAATTTTTCAACTTAAAAGTAAAGGTATATTCAGTAGCCTTTTGTTTTATGGTGCAAAACAATTGTGTTTTTTTCTCTTTTTTATATTATTAGGTTGATTTTTACTCGTGAACCCGGCCTAACCCAATCTTACGCAAATTATTAGGGTTCTAACTTATTTGGGTGACTCTGAATTAGTGTTTTCAAAATAGTGGTACATGAGTCAGATGATTAATATGACTAAAGTCTAACGAACCGAACCATGTACACCTCCAATTATGAGGCCTCAGAAAACAAAACCATATATATTTGAAATGGAGGATGCATGACAAAAACGAGCATATGCTGAACACAGATACTCTGCTCAAAAGTCAAAACCTAACCATTTTCATTTGGTCCCATTACCATAAACACAAACTAAGAAGATGAACAATGGTCATATTTCCTGATTCAGCGAGCGCTTGGGTCGGGGAGCCTGGCTCTGCTGCAACCCATCTGCTCTAGAAAACAGGTAAGCCTCCCATGTTTAGCAGCCCACTGGTCGGCCAATTTCTGCTCCTTAGCTTCAGCATCCCTTCTCAACCCAGCCAACTGATCCCTATATTCAGCCTCGATCGCATCGACTGCAGCCTTCTGTTCTTCCCTCAAAGCCTTGATCTTCGCCTCAATCTCCTCCGTCTTCTCCCTCATTCTACAGCACTTCTCCGACTCCAGCTGCAACTCCACCCTGCTCAGCCTCCAAGCAGCTTCCTTCTTGTGCGCCGCCCATGCCCTATGCCCTTCTTCCACCTCTCTGCAACATTCCACCAACTCATTTATCACCATGCTCTCATGAGGCAGCGGCGGCTGTGGTGGAGGCATTACGCTGTAAACGAGATTCTGTGCAGTGTTATCCTGCGCTCTCTGGTCAGCAGCAGGATGAAGCCACGGTACAGATGGTGCAGGTGCCATGGTGGAGCTAGAGAGGCTCAGTGTTACGGATGGGGAGGCTGGTGGTCTTATTACTCCAGCTGTCCCAACGCCATTGGAGCTCGATGATAGCCACGGCGGCAGCTGCTGCATGACAGCTGCTGCTGGTGGAGCAGGATAGCTGCTGCTGCTGCTGCTGCCACCATTTGCAGTTGCCATGGTGACGAACCCTGCTGCTGAAGGAGGTGGTTGTTGCATACTAGTGATTCTTTCCTTGTTCACAAGCTTCTCGGCGAAGTTCTCGAGGATTCGATCGTACTTGGTCTCGTCGACAGGCTCGACGGTCTTGTTGGTTTCCTTCTTCTCCCTCTGCTGCTTCTCCTTGAAAACCTCCCACCACTTCCCCAATCGCTTGGCTGTCCTTCCGGGCACTTCAGCAGCGATTTTCTTCCACTTGTTGCCGTACTTGGCCTGGAGCTTGATGACGAGGCGCTGCTCTTGTTCGGTGAGCGATCCCTTCTTGATCCCTGGTTTGAGGTAGTTCTTCCACCTTTCCAAGCAGGATTTGGCGTCGCGGTTTAGCGGTGTGTTCATGCGGTGGGAGATGAGGTTCCATTCCCTTGGGCCATACTGCTTGACGTAAGAACGTAGCAAGGCGTCCTCTTCAGATCTCCAACGCTGCCTCTCCTTCATTTCCAGATACCAACGCCACAGCCCAAGTCATATTGCAACTGAAAAAAGTACTGCATCCTCGTCAAAAGTACACATGAGCCTGCATCCTTGCAACAACAACAACAACACGCACAAGCAGAGCAATCAAAAGAAGTGAACAAACAACCCAAATTATAGATGCAACCAAACAATGAAGGGTTGCAACATGATTACAGGCCAATAGTTGCAGCATAAACCCCAGCTTAATTTAAGGGCAGGAGCAAAATTGGGGATTTCCCATGTGAATCCAACACCAGAAAAAGAACGAGCCGTTTAATGAAAAAGATGATAACTTGATGCTATATGCAACCTGGTGATGCACATTCCAACTATGAAGTGAAAAAAAGCGAGTTGGGTTTTCTTATTGCTTGAACACTGAGCCACAAAATCCTTGTCTAAGCACACAGCTGCGAATGGAGAGAGTGGATAAGGCCAGGGAAGGACACAGATTAGGGCGCAGGTTACTAGATTACGAAACCATTGGTTTCGTTTTCGGTACCACCAAATCCTAATTAGAAGAAAACATTACAACTCGACGACAGAATTTGGTATGGAAACATCAAACAATCTGCAGAGCTAAAAGAAGGAAGACTCGAACAGGGAGAGAGGGTAAGCGCTTACAATATCCTTCCGCTATGTATCTCCGGCTCCGGCGGGGTAGAAACGTACGAGCAAAGTTGAGGTGTGAAGGTTTCGGGAGAGAAATGTGATGCAGCAGTGGAAGATAAGCTCGGGAGAAGAGAAGAGAAGAGAAAGGAAAAGAGGGTAACACTAACAACAACAGACTCAAGAGGAGAGAAAGGATCTCTGACAGCGGGCGAAAAAGGAAGGCACGCGAATTGAAAGGCAAGGAGAAGCAAAAAAAACAAAATAACGAAAGCAGAGTGAAACAGTGCCTTTTTTTTTTTCTTCTTTTCTCCCCGGCCCAGTTGACGCTGACGTTGCTTCCGGAATGTGATTGCGTCACTTCCTCCGCCCCCCACCACCGCCAATGATTCACGCGGCGCGACAGTGGCTATACACAGTGACCTTCACTTGCCTCAACTACGTGAAGACGCTAACAGCAACATAGCAGAATTTATTAATTAAGGAAATAAAAGTGTTGTAATTAATTAATTAAAATGCGCCACCATCCGCCACTTCGGCTCCCAAGCTTTTTTTCCCCCCCCCTGCTTTGACAATTCACAATTCTCCTCCCGTGGCGTCAATCAAGTCTGCTGCTCTCCCCGCGCAGAGCTTTTTTTTTTCCCTCACTTTACTTCCCCAGTTACTGTTAGTTTCGTCTGCACTTCACTGTGCAGCAATAAGAGCAGTCTCTCTCTCTCTCTCTCCCTCTTCTCCCTCGCGTTATTGTCTATCGGGCCATCATTCATCCCCCATTCTCTTCTTTAACCTCACCCGCCCGTCACCTAACGAAGCATAACAGCGGCATCCTGGCCCTCAATATTGCTGACTTTTCTTATTTTTTCATTTTTCGGAAAGGATGGTGGTGGAGGGTAGTTTTGTTGCGGAGGTGAGGTGACTGATTAGGGGGAAAAAAAGTAGTGCTGACAGAGTGGCGGAGGGAGGGACCGATGATAGGGGTCCCACTTGGGGGAAAACAGAGGCAAAAAGATTCCCTATATATATAATGGCTTTTAAATCGGCTCGTTGGCTGTTCATATATTTGATTATTTGTATTTTTTATGTTACATTTAAGTCTGTCAACCCGTTTAATTTACTGACAATTATTCGATCGGGATGATATATAAAGAAAAAATATATAGGTCGAACTTTCAGAAAAATAAGAATATAAAATAAAAAAATGTATCATTGATCACATTTTTATAATGATAATTAAGCTCCAATTAAAATGCTATTGGTTAGTTGATTGTCGAGATAGATAGAGTATAAAAGCTCATTTGAATTCTCACACGACCCATAGGTAGCTTGAAACTCGATCTTAAACCTCACAATTCTACATAAAAGGGTTTAGGACTTTGCTACGGTGACATGCATGTCACGGTGACATGCACTTTTCGGTCGACCTCATATAGGATCAGGTCGACCTAATTTGTTGTTTCAGTGTAAAAACAGTTTCGTGGTGCCTACTTTGGGGATTCATATCTTACAATTGGCTAGATGGAAATTGAAGATTAAAGGCTTGTTTTGAAGCTGAAGTGTCCCTCTACACATTAAAGTACTTGGGAGCTCAATAGAAAGTCCAGAAGACCATTTTTGAACATGACCAAAAGGCTATGCCAAAACTGGGCAACTGCCTGAAAATGCTCAAGTCTGGCAACGTGTTTGTCAAGCCTACTTTGGAGCTCAATTTGAGAAGCATGGATGCGAGTCAAGTCTAGGGGCCTCTACCACGTTAAATTACGTATTTTTTTATACAAAGGCAAGGCATTGGATGAAGGATTGAATATCTTTAAGGCTTCAAACAAAATGCTCGAAGTTGCTACGAAGGCTGTTTTTCTGGCAGCTTGCTTGTGCTCGAAGTCTGCCAGAAAAACAGCCTTCGTAGCAACTTCGACCCTTTTGTTTGAAGCCTTACAGATATCCAATCTTTCATCCAATGCCTTGAATTTGTATAAAAACATACCTAATTTAACGTGGTAGAGGCTCCTGGACTCGACTCGCATTCATGCTTCTCGAATTGAGCACCAAAATAGGCTTCACAAACACGTTTCCAGACTTAGTCATTTCCAGGCAGTTTCCCAGTTTTGGCATAGCCTTTTGATGAGGTTCAAAAATGGTCTTCTGGACTTCCTATCGAGCTCTCAATCACTTCAATATGTAGAGGGACACTCCAGCTTCAAAACAAGTCATTAGTCTTCAATTTCCATCTAGCCAATTGTATGATATGAATATCCAAAGTAGACACCATGAACTGTTTTTACACTGAAACAACAGATGAGGTCGACCGGATCCTATATGAGGTCGACCGAATTCTAAATGAGGTCGACCTAATCCTAACTGAGGTCGACCGGAAAGTGCAAGTCACCGTGACATGCATGTCACCGTAGGCACACCCAAGGGTTTAATGCTCTCCTTTTAGGAACAATATGTCACTAATCAAAAGGAAATGGTGAGTTGTTGATTCAAGTCAACTATATACTAACAACTCGGTTAAGAGAGGACCAATAAAACTTGAGAGCAAACGACAAAATTAGGGTTACCTCCAATATGCTAATAGACTCGATCGAAGTAATAAGGCACGAAATTAGACACTCCTTATCTACCAGTTCCAGTAGGTTGAACAAAGAATCGACCTAGCTGCAAAAACCATAAACATAAAGGTCCAATAGTTACCACTCTCTGTTGTACAACTAAATTTTTATCTCAAGAGGCATATGTTTCAATCAACAATTCAATCTCTAATCCTCCTTCTACAACTCCATTTATTGAACTCCATTCTATTCATCATGGATTGATATCGGATTTGAAATCTTCTACTTGCATATTTTAAATCCCCAATAATAAAATCGTAGTGCCAAGAGATACCAGAAGATTGATTTTAAAGGCGACCTTGTATTGGAAAGTAAAAGGGGCGTAAACTATTACACGATGGAGGAAATTTCGAAGGAAGTTAAAAGAGATAAAAACAAAGATAAAAAAAGCACTAAATTTAAATTTAAATTTAAAATTTCAAGGACACAACATGCAGTAACATGATTAGATTATATGGTAGCCAATTACCAATCTACCTTTAGCAAAAAATTAAGGCGAGAGCAACAAATTTAAAATTGAGAAAATTACATGAAACTCTACTATAAAAACTGAAGTATCAAGCACCATAAAATACATACGGTAGACTTAGTGGGCTTGCTAATCAGTATGGAAAATTCTTCCAATTTCCAGAGTTTAACTTGTGTATGTTTTGTACTCGAAAAGATACAACAAATTTGTTTAGTGTAATTGGTTGTGATTGTTGTTTTTGTTTTAAGAGACCCGGGTTCGAATCCTCATATTGATATTTTTTATTTGAGATAATAATTAATTGTAAATACAAAAATGTCCTTCCTGCTTTCACTCTCGTTGCAAGAAATTTGAAATGGAGAAAAGTTCACAAAACTCTACTATATATTATTGAAGGATTGTGGGCAAATTGCATAGTTGGTCACTGACATTACAAAAAACGTTCATGTTTGGTCACTAAAAATATTTAATTTCAATAATAGTCACTAAATCTAGTAAAACATGTCAAGTTTGGTCACTCTCTGTTAGTCTCCGTCCAACTCCGTTAATGGAGTCCGTTAAGTGCTAAGGTGGCAAACCGAATCGTCTAATCAACTAGATTTAACCGAAAAATAGTAAACCCGACCCGCCACATCATCACAACCCGCCAGGTCATTAAAACCATATCCCAACCCAATACAAACCCACAAATTGAACCAACCAACTTTAAAAAAAAACTAACTCGTCTTCTACCCCAAGCCCCAACTCCACCATCCTTTTCCCATACCTAAATCGCTCGTCATTTCACTTAAACTCCAGTCGGGACAATCTTGCTGGATCTTGTTGCAAGAGAGAAGACTTATTGCCCCAATGTTTCTCCAGCGGTGGATGCAAGCTCCAAGCTCTGCTGCCTTGGCCCCATTACCCAGAGATTCCTCTGACCGAGATGATGATGGCGAATATGACAATCTCTGCTGCTAGGAATCACCGAATCTAGTTGAGATTCTCTCTAACATATCCCCGGAGAAGCTCCTGCTCCCGCACCCACTAAATCTAGCTCGCAGCAGCTGCCGAAGACGCTGAACCCTGCCAGATTTCTGGGGGATTTAGCATGGCCGACGAAAGGACTGGGTTTCCCAGGGAAGCTGGACGTCTTTCTGTTCATCTACTCCCAAAATCAAACCCCCAGTCAGTCCATAACTGTTGTCCTTCTCGATTGGAATCCGACCCTCAAGATCTGCCGACAAACTCATAAAAAAAGCCCCCACTGTCGTGTTCTTAGTCTCCCTCTCCTCCTCCCGCATCCCTCCCGACCCAAA